GTATCTCTCTTCTCCCCTCGCTCTCTTTCACGGCCTGTTGCTATATCTGGTCTGGGTTAGTGTGTCGTGTCGTATGTGACCGGACCAAAGTGCCAAATTAAGTGACGATCGAGGACCGACAAAACATTAAAATGTATTTGTTATGCAATTAACTTCACCGTTGCTTCTTGTCTTCATAACTCACCGGTCTGCTGCAGCGCCAAAAATTATGTTGCCGACCAGAACACCGAACATGAGCACCATCTGGGCGACACTTGTTAGATCACTCTTGCCGCACACCAAATCCCACTGCAAAGCAATAAGTGAGGAGTTTATTTACAGTTGATAATGCAGATTAAGAAGCATGATGCGATTCATATTATACTGATTCATTTCAGGATATTTTTTCAAGCATTTAAAAGTATATTTTTTGTGTGTAAATTATTAAATTGCACTTTTGTAAAAGAAATCCCCTTACCTCGCTCACGATCGTCTCCTGGAAAACTGTGCGGTTGTACTCCCAATGGTTGCACGGCTCAGCCACACTTGCGTCCCAGTTGAAGGAGTGGCATTCGTCCACATTCGGCACAGCTTCTATCTGAATGGTCAGATACCACATGTGTCTGATTAATGCCGCGCACTTAAAATGTAGTTATACTGTACCGGCATACGGGCGGGCTTGCCTATCGTCGCTGACCACGGCGCCTGCCGGCCACACCCGCCCGCACACCTGCCTGCAGGACAGTGAACAGTGCAACTACTAAAGTGTACGGGTCAATCAGCCACCTGGTCCTGGAGGGAGGGTAGGTTGGCCTACCGCAGTGCGTTGCAGACGCTATCATTAGCGCAGTTAGACCCAGGCGTAATTGCTTCATGCGGCTTCGTTCACCCCAAAAAATGTGTTCTCAATTCAAGAGAATCCCCAAAATTTAAAGACAAATAGGGATTCTTTTAATACCTCTTTTCTTTTTGTAAGTGTAAATGGGGTCATTTTACAACTTCGTGTTTGCAGATGCATCTTCTGTGCATCTATTGAAAAATGCAATTTTAAATCATGAGTAGTGACAAATTTGTATCTTCAGTCGGACAAAAAAAAGTTGTCCAGCAGGCGAGCCAGCACACGGAAAAAGAAAAAAATTCGCTGAGTCAGCTAATACATTGACTGGTATATGGATAGACAAGCACATACACTAATGTGACCACTATATTGTCCACTCTAATCAATCATTGGCTGTGCCAGTCAAAAATTAGCTGTAAGAGCTTATCCCTTCCCTAGATCAGTCGAGGTCTACCTTACTGATACAGGCAAATCATTATTTCATACAACTTATCTTTGACTGGCACATCCAATGATTAATTAGAGTAGACAATATAGTGGTTACAGAAGTTTATGTGCTTGTCTGTCCATATACCAGTCAACACATTAGCTGACTCAGCGAATCTTTTTTCCGTGCAAGAGATTACGTATTTGTTACTACTCAAGATTTTATATTGCAGTCTGCAAGATGTGTAATACAGACGCATCTTACAAGGACATTGCCATTCAGAGTGTTGTAACTTTTCGTGCTCTAGGACTTACCACTGGTGCCTCTAGGCCAGATGTCGCCTCCCCGCACCAATGGGGGTGCTTGGGGGCGAGGAAGAGAGTGGAGAGCTGGAACCAGGCAATGGGCAGCTTTAGCAGCGCCAGAAGCACGGCCTGCCGCGCCTGCCACCGTCCCCATGGTCCTGCCGCCTGAATCACCACGTCATTGGCATTGTCGGAGGATGCCAGCGCCTCGTTGGGGCTGTAGAAATCAGACACTTAGAGCAAAAGAGAACAGCAACGTGTCAGATCACGAGCAGACTGCAGTTTTCGGGGAGATTCTGTTTTTAGTATTAGTTTTGGGTGGCTATCTAGGTTTAGGGTAAGGTCAGGTCACAGCCAGACTTTCTGGTCCAAGGCGAGAAAGCTGTTGTTATCAATCATGACAATATGATTATAAAACGATTTGCCAATGCAAACGATAAGCCAACCAAGCGGTAGGCTGCTGCCCTTGAAAGGGCTATACGGACTTGAGCCCGCCCAGAGTTGAGCCCGGACCACTGTAGGCCCGACCAATGCCCGATATGAGCCTAGATCCGAGACTGGCTCGTCAGCTTTGGTCCTGGCTACGTCCAGCTAGGCTCATCGGACACTGCTTGGGCCTACAGTGGTCCGGGCTCAACTCCGGGCGGGCTCTTGTCCGTATAGCCCTTGAAAGTGATCAGCTAAGTCATAATTTTTAGCTTGAGGGTGCAAGGGATCTTCCATAAAAGTATGTGTCCGCTCTTTTTAGGTTCACCTTCCCCTTCCTTGCAGGAGCTCAGCGCCTGTGAGACTCGGGATAGGCCAGCCTGCAGTACACGCTTGCACTGCACGGCAAGGTGTTGCCTACCTACCAGGCGCTCTGTGAGCTTGCATAGGCTGAACTGGGCAGTTTCTTACTGGTGAATTACGGACGATCTTTCCTGATGATCCCTCACGTTATTAAGAGAGACTATTTATCGACAACACTTCGCTTGGAAGCAGAGGTGGGCGTGACGGGCGAGGATTTTTACTCCACCTCTTTACTTGTGATTTTTAATCGATTCGCTACTCAATCAATGCGCTCTTCCAGAAATGTTTTCTCATTTTAAGAAAACAACTATCATTGACGATTTTCGCGGGGTAACGCTATTTTCTGGACAAAATAGTAATTTTAAAATTCGTAAAAACAATTGACTACAAAAGAATCTCACTGCACACTTAGTGCGATACTAGAGTGTTTCGCAAAATAAACCGAAATCCATTTAGAGTGTAGAGATTTCCAACTTTAACTTTGGTGCAATGGCCACGCGCGTGCGCGCGCGTGTGTGTGAGGGGCATTAAAAAATATCCTAATTGTACCCATTACACGGCTTGCTGGCAGTTAAGAAGTAGTCATTCTCAACCCCCAACCCTCGTTTCATGCTTAAGACCCTCTGGCACAATTTGTGTCCGTCCATTTTCTGAAACCAATAATCTTGTCCTTACCTTGCCATGTCGTTTCTGTTGACCTGCGTCAGTTGCCTTACTGCTGTATCCTCCTTCTGGCTCAGTCACACTAACCATACGCACTCACACATGATCGGGGAGCAGTCGCTGAAACGCCCAAGATCCTACAAAACAGGCGGGACCGATCGGAACGGACTCTGGTAGTCGTACGCGAGAGGAGAGGAGCCTACTGGGCGAAGTGACGACGCCCTGGTCTGCCTCTGCTCCACTCCGCCGGGAGAGGCGGGGCGGGTGCGGCTGGGCGGGGCGGGGTGGAGTGGGGCGAGCTCTGTCCGGTCGTGAGGTTTAGGATGAGAGGAGGAAGTTGCAGTGATACAGGGTAAGGGGCAGTATCAATATATAAAGGGGAGGGGGTGGGTGGGCAAACTCGCCCTCTTCTGAGTGGGTCAAGGTTTCACACACCGTGTGTCAGGGCTACGACACAACAATGTTGCAGGCTTGCATACCCTAGGATTCATGGCGCCCAACGGGCAGAGCCAGTAGGCAACCCAGCATACTGTTGTGTCGTGGACCTTTACATTGACAGTCGTCGCCTGCGCACCACGCACCACCAAACCCTACTTTCGTCCTACCTGGGACTCACAATCGGAACTGTCCTACTTGTTGGGTTCGCACCTCCGCTGAGTGACCTCGACCATGTGTAGAAGTAAAGAGTTGACGGCTGTGTCGGGTGTGCCTGAATCGATTAAGTTACCTATCGATTAAGTTACCTATCAGACGCCCAGCATGTGACGTGGTCATTCTGTCATTCCGTCCGTCTGTCTTTCTGTGTGTCTGCCAGGCCAGGCGTCAGGTCCGACGTCGTAGCCATACGACGCTATATAGGGTTACGCAACGACACTGGCTGGAGAAAGTAGTCTTCCGTGTCGCTGCCACGCGGTTCGGTGTGGCACGGTGCGTCCGTATGGGCTAACCCCTCTCCTCTCTCCCCACCTGACGATGAAAAAGAGTTCAGCTAAAGCGTGTCATGCTCCTAGACTGTCGCACCATGTCCTCGTGGAAACCAATTTTACCGTTCTCGCACTTGGCTCGCGGTCTCGTTTTCGTAATCCGCGGGAATTCTTGAGTGCCCATCTTTCCCCTCCCAATCTATGTTTAACTAAAAGTCGACTTTCCGAAAATGTCAATGTCTGCACAAAAATTGTAGGAGAAAGAATTGGTCGTTGTACTACCCATCTAAGTCAGCACTTTCAGCAGGGCAGGGGCGGCAGCCCCGTTGCGGACCGTGCAACAGTACTCCCCTGATGTTAGGGCCGGCGTGCTGGCAGGGCATGCCTCATTGCCAGCCATTCACCTCAGCTTCCCTTTCGCGACCCTCCTCGCCTTACTTCCCTACCTGCCGCGCCTACCTTGTTGTCCGAGACCTTGACGCCGATCTGGTCGCGCGCGGAGGCTGCGCCGACTGCGCCTTGCGGCGCTGCTGTGCGGAACCTAGCCTCAAGGTGGGGCAGCGTCTTGGACAGCGTACAACATCCCTCCTCATCCTCCTCGCGGTGTCCCTTTTTCCCTCCGTGTGTCTAATCCGTGTCGACGTCGCCGACCCACCATGGGTATATTCTCTGTGGTCACACCAGGCAAAGCAATGTTTGTCGAACGCGCGTTTTCTCGCTGCATACCCGACCGGCGATACTTTGCGCGTAGCGAGAAAGGTGTTGTCTCGGCTGTCTCTCACAGCTCAAGCGGTCCTTATGTAATTTGGAGGAACTAGAATATTTCACTGTATCCGAATTCTGTCGAAAAACTACTCAGAAGAACAAAATGTGTCTACTCTCAGGACCTGTACTGATGTTTTACAGACATGCTGTGTGGAATACAGATGGGCCTACAATATCAAACTGTAAGTGATGTAAAACGGACTAAATTAATGCGTCCTACTGATAAGACACGTTTTTCAGTAGTTCTGCCTTGTAAAAAAACATTACATAATTACTTTCAAGTGGTCGAAAAATATCAGTAACAGGATGAGAGTGTACCAAATCTGTTAACTCGTAAACACTGAGAACTCGAAGTGGCCACATACTAGTTTCAACTGCAAGTTGAATACTCTTAAATGTTCAACTCCGTAGTTGTGCTGTGTGTGTGCGACTGCTTGGTGGTGCATTATTCAGCGTTCAACTCCCCCTGTTGACTATTTCGTTATGTTGGAGGCGACTTGTGGGATTTGTGCAAGGGAGGAATCGCACTATTGCACGTATTTTTATTTCCGTACCTTTATTTGTTTAAATTGTTTTTGACCCTCTAAGCGGTAAATTGTCAATGTTGAATCCTTTGGGCAAAACTTTTCCCACATGTGAGTAGAGCTTACAAATCTTGAGGGTACTAGTGACATCGTTAGCAGTGCAAAGTTCAAACATCAGTAGTTGAGTCTTTGAGACCTTCTCAGATACATGCATACTTTATGTCCTCTCCCCGCCCTTGTTTGCGTTATAACACCTGCTGAGTTAAGATGCCACACCAGAAGCCGATGTGTCGCCATGCATACCATGTCCACTTCCAGATGCACCTGCACTCTGTGTGGGTAGTGGTGCGATGGGTGCGCGTGCGTGTGTGCACGCGCAGTTAGAGAAGGGGAAGAATGATGGGGGGGGGGGGGGGGGGCGTCTCATCCACACGTCGTCTCTAGCCACACAGAAGTATGGTATCATTGGCAGGATTGGGTCACAGCCAGAGCATTGTAACCTTCCCCTTCTGGCACCATGAGTTTCCACCTCTTCCCTCCATACCACTCCCCTCCGCCAACCCCTTCGACTTCCACAATGCATCGCCCATCACGGCCGCGCCAACTCTAAGGCGGCACTAAATAACAGCTGCTTTGTCTTGCCCCGCACTTTGTCATCGCTGAAGATAATTTAGCACCGGGG